CTTGGTGTCGCCCACACCGCACTCAGCCAGTGAGCGCACCAGCCATCCCTATATAGGATCCAAACCCACGGCCTTGGCGCTCCCAGCGCTGCTGCACTCCCAGCTCCACACTCTCCCGAGTGAGCCACGGGGTCAGCCGCAGTTTTTTTTTTTTTTTTTTTAAAGATGACTGGTAAGGAGATCTTAACCCTTGACTTGGTGTTGTCAGCCCCACGCTCTCCCAAATGAGCTAACCGGCTATCCCTATATAGGGATCTGAACCTGTGGCCTTCCTGTTATCAGCACCACACTCTCCCAAGTGAGCCACAGGTCAGCCCATCAGTACGATTTCTGTTAAAGGCCATCATATAGAGTATCACAGCAATTTAAAGTGATTAATTCTGAAAAATCGTGTATTTTAAGTAATGGTGTTTATTTTTAAAATGTGTATTTACTCATTTAAGAGCCAGTTGTGCCAAATGAAATATAAAGTGTAAGTTATTTTTCTCACTACTGCTAAAGTTAAATAATTCCACTTAGTAAGAAACTTTATAAAATTCATCATTTAATAAGTCTCAGGATTTCTGTTTATTTACTTTTTTCTGTTTATTAAAGTAATTCATGTGTGTCGTGGAAAATTGGGAGAAGGAAGGAATGTGTAAAAAAATCCACTGCTTTACACATTTGGGTGTATTTCCTGTAAGTCTTTTTTGCGTGCATTTAAAAAAATACAGTTGAGGGCTGGCTGATCGGCTCATTTGGTTAGTGTGTGGTGTTATAACCTTAAGGTTAAGGGTTCAGATCTCCTTACTGGCTAGTTGCCAAAAAAAATATGATTGAGTGCTGGCCAACTACAAAAAAAAAAATACGGTTGAGATCATTGAGTATAAAAAATTTTGCATTTCAGTATTTTTTCATTTACATTGTAAATAAAATTTGAAATGCTAATGAGTAGGTGAGATTCCAGAAGTAAGTCCTGCGTTTTATAATTGGGGTATTTGAATCAGGCTAGTTAATTAGACTTTAAATATTTCATATTTTTGCAGCTTTTTGCATGGGTTCGGATCCCTATATAGGGGATGGCTGGTTAGCTCACTTCATATTTTGCACGGGTTTGGATCCCTATATAGGGGATGGCTGGTTAACTCACTTGGGAGAGCATTGTGCTGACAACACCAAGTCAAGGGTTAAGATCCCCTTACCAGCTGAGACTTTATTTTGACTTTTGTTTGACGCTTTTGCTAGTCTCCAAGTTACCCAAACGTGTCAATATTTGTTGTTTAAGGAGTGAGAAAAATGGATGAAGTTTAAGAATTATAAATAGAATTATGATAATTATAAGTGGAAAAGTCTTCTTAAAGATGAGTAAATGGAAGCAACAAATAAGGAACATATTCAATTCTTTTAATGTATTGTAGCTTACAGAGTTATTTACTGAGTGTTTACTATGTGTTAGTATTTTCTTAGCACTTTAGATAAAACATTATGTGTAATGTATTTAACTATATTTAATAGTTTCATTGTGTATTCCCAAATTAAAAGAAACAATAGAGTTAAAATTATTGCTAAATATATATTTTTTTCTTTTTTGGCAGCTGGCCAGTTTGGGGATCTGAACCCTTGACCTTGGTGTCATAATACCATGCTCAAACCAGCTGAGCTAACTGGCCAGCTAGTCTCAATATTATTTTTATTATTTTTCTTGTTCCTGAAGATAGATACATTCCTTTATTTTATTTAATTATTTGGTGGCTGGTTGGTATGGGAATCCGAACCCTTGACCTTGGTGTTATAACACCATGCTTAACCAGCTGTGCTAACTAACCCATTCCTTAATTTTAGAACACTTGAAGATGAGCCATCTTCTTAGAAAATAGTTTTCTTTTTGGGTAAGACTATAATGAGTCATGGTTAGCTTAGTGACTTACACAAAGCAGAGCATAGTTGAATGATGTAGAATGAAAATTGGTTGAGGTAATAGCATTACCCAGAGCACCTGCCCTAAAATACAAGTATGTATTATAGTTAAATGAACTTGAATACATTTTTAGACTTAAGATTGTTTTGTTATTTTTTGTTTCGTTTTGTATATGCATTGTTTCATTGTCTGGGAGAAGAATGGAATTATATAAAAGCACACAGACTTTTTATTAAGATATTATTGGTTTTCTTTTTTTTTAGCTTAAAGCAATAAATGTAGATCTTCAAAGCGATGCTGCTCTGCAGGTGGACATTTCTGATGCCCTTAGTGAGAGGGATAAAGTAAAATTTACTGTTCACACAAAGGTAAATATGATTTTGTACTTTGTATGATTTTAGCTATTTATTATGCTAATGTTACATGTAATATATTGACTAAAACTTAGGTTTTGAACATAATTGGGAAGAGACTTTTAGTTTATAATTCACTATTTTAACAAAGTTTTAGTGAAATGTACTTGTTTAAGATCAACATTTTAAATATTAATCATAGAGGGGCCGGCCCGTGGCTCACTCGGTAGAGTGCGGTGCTGATAACACCAAGGCCACGGGTTCGGATCCAATATAGGGATGGCCGGATTGCGCACTGGCTGAGCGTGGTGCTGCCAACACCAAGCTAAGGGTTGAGATCCCCTTACCGGTCATCTTTTAAAAAATAAAAATAAAAAAAAAAT